CAGGCCTTGCCTCTTGTTCGCTTCGTGTGCCAAGAAGTTGTTTCGTCTCCAACTGCGCGACGACTGCCGTCCCTCCGTGGACACCCACCTCCCCGCCGCCTCCCGGGGGCGCCCTGGCACCAAGTCTCGCAAACGCGGCTCCGTCCCGTGTCCCTGGTAGGCCCCCGGCTCCTTGAAGGCTGCGGCGTGACCTCTTCCTGCAGCGTCTGGGCCCGCCACAAGGGACGTGATCGTAGAGGACGATGAACCTCTCCAGCAAAGCCAGAGGGGTGGACAGGCCCGGACCCCCATGGAGACCCGTGAGGCTCTCGCGTTGCCGATGGCTTTGCGGGAAACACGGCCGGTGAGCGTCCCGCAGCCGTGGCACCTTCTGGCCATCTGTTCTGTCTCTCTCCTGCTGTGTCTCGGGGACAGCGAGGCGACTCGCGTTTGCCAAGGAAAGCAGCGGAAATGGCACTGGCCGGATCTGGGGGCGCCGCGACTTGGGCTCAGGTCATGATCTCGCGGTTCATGGGTTCAAGCCCCGCGTCGGGCTCTGTGCTGACAGCTTGGAGCCCGGAGCCTGCTTCGGATTCTGTGTCTCCCTCTCTCTCTGTCCCTCCCCTGTTCATGCTCTCTCTCTCAATAATAAATAAACTTTAAAAAAAATTAAAAAAAAAAAAAGTGTCAGGGTCGTCCAAAGCAAGGGGAGTCCGAGAAGCTGTCCCAGCCCAGAGGAGCTAAGGAGACGTGACAGCTAACTGTCGTGTGGGGTCCTGGATGGGGGCCTGGACGGGGTCCTAGACCAGGAAAAGGGCAGGAGGTGAAACTAAGGAACTCATGTAATAGAGTCAGTCATAGGGGAAACTGAGTGCCGAGTGTATGGGAACTCTGTACTGTCTCCTCAGTTTTGCTGTAAATCTAAAACCGTTCTAAAATAAAAATCCAGGGGTGCCCAGGAGCGTCTGACTCGATTTCAGCTCAGGTCATGATCTCACGGTTCGTGGGTTTGAGTCCCATGTCGGGCTCTGAGCTGACAGTGCAGAAGCCAGCTTGGGATGGGATATTCTCTCTCTC